AGAAAAATCCCACCCTCTGCATAGTTTCTTTGCATTTTTGATATATTAAGAAATCCCCTTCCTCCTCTTTTATTGGGCATTCCTTGTGGAAGATTTATGGAAAAGTCTAGACAAAGTTTCAGAAGATGATATGAAAGAATGGAGGGTTTGTTCTCTTTACCATTGGAGGAAGTACATTCATAGATGGGATCACGAATTCATCAAAGTTCCAAAGCATAAGAAGAAAATAAGGGGGTTTAAACGATAGCAGGAGGGATTTAAGAAAGATTAAAAACCACAACTGATGGGAGTGGCAAGGGGTGGCAAAGCCTTCTTTACTCTCATAGAACAGAATTCCTTTGTTCCCATTAGGCTGTTACTGAGGGAATATTAGAATCTTCTCCCCTCTGTGGATCCTTTTAGATGAGTATGGAAGATTTTAGGTAAAACATGCCTAGAGGCAAAAGCATGGACTAAATATTGCCTGGGGGGTGGTTCCAGTTCTATTTCTAAAAACTTGGTGATTTTATAGAAAAATTCCAATGAGAAAGCAACTTCCACTCTTACAATCCTTTTTTCCTTTTCTTTCTTTCTTCTTCCTTCCTTCCTTCCTTCCTTCCTTCCTTCCTTCCTTTCTTTCTTTCTTTCTTTCTTTCTTCCTTCCTTTCTTCCTTCCTTCCTTCCTTCCTCTCTCTCTCTCTCTCTCTCTTTTTCTTTCTTTCTTTCTTTCTTTCTTTCTTTCTTTCTTCTTCTTCTTTCTTTCTTTCTTTCTTTCTTTCTTCCTTCCTTTCTTTCTTCCTTCCTTCCTCTCTCTCTCTCTCTCTTTTTCTTTCTTTCTCTCTCTTTTTCTTTCTTTCTTTCTCTTTCTTTCTTTCTTTCTTTCTTTCTTCCTTCCTCTCTTTCTTTCTTTTCTTTCCTTCCTTCTCTTTCTTTCTTTCTTTCTTCTTTCTTTCTTCTTTCTTTCTTTCTTTCTTTCTTTCTTTCTTTCTTTCTTTCTTTCTTTCTCTTTCTTTCTTTCTTTCTTTCTTTCTTTCTTTCCTTTCTTTCTTTCCTTCTTTCTTTCTTTCTTTCCTTTCTTCTTTCTTCACAAATTAACTCTCATGAACATAGAACTTTGGCCTATTTCATTTCTGATCTGGGTTGGTGCCCCCTTCCTTAGCCAACCTGGTGGCTTCCTTTTTATGGGGGCTCACCATATTGAAGTTTTATTTTGTAGGGATTCCTGATGGGTTTGCCCCCTATAACATAGAACCCCAGATCTAAAGTGATCCACCAAGATCAACTTCCTAGGAAGCAGGGATTATAGTTATGTGCCACCTTGCCAAGATCTTAAGATCTTTTCTAAAAAAAAAAAAATCCCTATACCCATGCTACTCATTCATTAAGACTTATATTGATATTTGTATTTCTTCATTTTATGCCCTTCCTTAACAACCCCCAAAGCAATTTTTTTCACACATACACACACATATGTGTGTGCATGTGTCTGTGTATCTATCTCTTTTTTATATTTTTTTTTGTAAGTGAGGCAATTGGGGTTAAGCGACTTGCCCAGGGTCATACAGCTAGTAAGTATCAAGTGTCTGGTCTGAGACTGAATTTGAATTCAGGTCCTCCTGACTCCAGGGCTGGTGCTTTATCCACTGCACCACCTATCTGCCCCTATCTCTTTTTTTAAATAAAGAAATGTTTATCTACAATCTCTCCCATTCTGGTAGAATGATGAGCTGGGTGTCACTATTAGTCAACCTGATTAAAGTATCATTTCTCCTCTTCATTTATATTTGTTATTTGTAGGAAGTTTACCCCCCCCTTCCTTTGGTGTTTGTTTTTTTTTCCTCTCTCATTTTAAAAAACTCATGAATCATGATATGATTTACAACCTCTCTCAAGAGAGATAGGCAACTCTAATGAGTGAGCAGCCTGCAAGTGTAATTAATACCTGCCAGACTTTCCAATGTGTGCAATGCATATCTCCTGTGGATGGGGGAACGATGGAATTAGAACACAACTGCATGGATCTCTGCACCTCTCTGCCCTGCTGAATTAAAAGGGATTAGAGTTAGGACCAGGGGAGGGTCCAACACTACTGTATCATGGAAGGGAAGCACAAAAGGCTAAAATAACCACATGACTGGCCAGGAGAAAGGTAGCAGCAAAGGGAAATACAGGGAAGGCAAGCAGGGTACACTGCAGAGGGAGACTGAGATAGAGATGCTGCACTCAGCTGATGGATCACTCCCATTTAAAACACAAAAATAAGGCAGCTTGCCAGAGCAGTTTGGGCCAGTTTCATTAAAACTCTTCATTCATCTTACTGAAACGAGGCAGTGTTTGTTATGGCAGCAGTGATGTCCCAGTGGGAAAGCTATTATAATACTGAGTGGGTGATCTAAGAAAGGCTACATATCAGGTGGGAGACTGGAATGGAGAATGCATGTGACTAAGAGGCATTGGTGTTTGGGTAATCTTCAGCTCTTTTGCCTTCTCTCCCTAGAAATAATCAGTTGCAAGGTCTTGTGAAGTCCACTTTCATAGCATCTCTTCTCTCTCTTCACATGCAGCCATGTAAGATCAGATCCTTATTAGCTCTCCCTTGGACTATTGCAACAGACACTTAATTGGCTTCCCAGACTCCAGTGTCTCTTCGTACTAATCTATGCTCCACTTAGCTGCCCAATAATCTTAAAGCACGGGTCTGTTTATGCCACTTCCTTGGTCACAAAGCTTTTTTGTTGTTCAGCCTTTTGAGTCATGTCTGGCTCTTCATGACCCCTTGGGGGGTTTTGTTGGTAAAGATGCTGGAGTGGTTTGCCATTTCCTTCTCCAACTCATTTTACAGATGAGGAAACAGGGTTAAATGACTTGCCCAGGGTCACACAGCTAGTATTTGACCATGAGTTTTCCTGACTCCAGATTCAGCATTCTATCCACTGTATTAACTAGCTGCCCTCAAAAAGCTCTAGCACAGACTGTCACCCATGACTAAAATGCATTCCTACTTCATTGTGGCCCCTTAGAAGCGTTAGCTCTTCCCAAGGCCAAGCTCAAGTACAGTCAGCTGCCCTCGTCTACTCTGATCGTGTTGTTGGTATGCTCTGCTCACTTCAATTACTTCCCATTTACTTTTTACATGTTTCTGTTTACTTACCTTTGCACATGCTGCTTCCTCCCTAAACAGCCTCCTCCCTAGGAAGCAGAGAGAACACTTAGCCTAAATTCAAGAAGACCTCTGAATTCAGCCTGATACTTAACTACTAATATGAATCTGAAAGCCACTTAAACTCTGCCTCAGTTTCTTCAGCTGTAGAGTGGTGATAATAATAGCACCCACCGCCCAGGGTTATGTGAGGATAAAAATAAGTAAAGCACTTAGCAGTAGTAGGTACTTAATAAATACTTTTTTTTTTTCAATTCCTTTCCAAGAATGTAAACTCCTTGAGGACAGGAACAGGGCAGTTTTTGTCTTTGTATCCCGAGTGCCCATATTTAGTAGGCATTTAATAAACACTTGTGAAATTCAGTTCAAATCAATTCAACAAAAGTATAAAATGCCTTCTATATGTAAGGTATTTGACTCCAATAATCTGAGGGAAGCATCAGACACCAGAATGACAGAGACTTAGATCTGAGTTATTCCTCTGAGTTTAGCCCCAGACATATAGTAGTCCCATTTTTTATAAGGATTATCTATCAGCCTGGATCAAGGGTGGGGAACCTGTAGCCTCGAGGCCACATGTGTCCCTTTAGGTCCTCAAGTGAAGCCCATCGACTGACTCCAAGTTTGGACTTGAGGACCTACAGGGCCACATGTGGCCTTGAGACTGCAAGTTTCCCACCCCTGGCTTGGATAGTATTTTCTAATATAGCCCCAGAATATAACTACATTACCACATGTTGCTTTTGTATCATCATGGAAGATCAAGTTAAAGGTGAAATGAGAATTTGTTGGTTTTTTTCTTTTCTAGTGATTGATTCCCAAGATAACAATATCAGATCCAGTAAGAAACAGTGAGAACTGTCCAGAATTCTTCCCCACCTCCCCTTCTCCGAGCTTGTCTTCAAATCAACACTCTGCTTTCTAAATGTTTCTAAAACAAACAAACAAACAAACAAACAAAAACAAGTACATCACAATGGCAGAAGGGAAAAAAAAAGTCCTGAACTAGAATGAGTCTCATACTGGGTCAACCTTTGGACTGGACCTTATTACATAGGGGGAAAAAGCACGACTCTTTTTCAGAAGTAGCTGGATATCAGAATCTTGTTCCATACGTATCACTTGCCATTTCCCTAGTGACGCTATGCCAATCTTTCCTGTGCGCAATACTCACCCTGAGATTCTTCTGACAGTCACATTATGAAAAGTTATGTAGCAACGTTGTAGGTGCTATAAACTGAACAAAATCCCCCACAGCTGTGTGTACATGACTGGCAGTGATGTTGGAAAATGAGGAATGAACTGCATAAATCAAACTCGTCTCCAGGCTTTATGATGGATCCTTTTGTCTGTGTTCTTGAGGCACAATGGTTGAGAATTGGTAGCTAACAGTCAGGCAGTAGCTAACAGATACACTCACAGATGGTCTATCTGGAACTCATTTGATGCAGGGCTGATAAGGTCAAATAGCATTTTTGTGTGCATCAAGACCCCTTGACTCTCTACACATGGTCACCTTTCTACCAGTTTGTAATATCCAAGATATGGTTACAGAGGATGAAATATGGATCATGGCCTTGGAGCTAGAGAAGTTAAGAAAGATCATCTAGTTCAACCCCCTCATTTAACAGATGAGGAAATAAAGTCTCCTTGACATTATATGAGTTGACCAAGGTCATTCAGGTAAGAAGGGTAAAGCTGAGATTTGGAACTGGATCCCCTTATTTGGAATCCGGCATTGTTTCCACCAGGTCATAGTAGTCTTGGGAAGTTATTCTTTTGAATCTTGATGTGGCTTATATTATCCATTAATGAAAATTCATATTTATTGAGCAACTTGTATTTGCAAGGCACTGAATCAAGTGAGGTTGAAGATGTAAAGACAAAGAAAGCACTACTGATGACTTCTAGGACATTCTAATACAGTAGGAGGAAGATCAGAAGTGAACCTGTATTATTCCTGTACAAGGTAAGATACAATAAATTCCATGATGGTGGTATAAAATGTCATAGGAGTGTAGAAGAGGGAAAATAAATCCAGTGGGGAAAAATGACAACTGATTGAGTTTGTTATATGTGCTTATCAATTTTGTAAAAAGTACTCTGAGGTGGCTGCATATTAAGAAATAACAGAAAGGAATCTCTATCTTTAGTACTAGATAAATCCAGAGAAAACACAAAGTCTTACTTTGGCCATTTTTTCCCAGTTCTTTCTTGTTTCAACTTTCACAAATCCTGACAGTCTTCTGATATAAAACCATACCTGTAACTGTGGTGTATTTTACCTCAGGGTAATGAAACATGAAGGGTTTCTGATATTATTTATATGTTAGAAGCAAAACTACCAAAACTACTGCTTTGTCTCCAACCTTTCCTACCCATCCACGCTCACATGGAGACAAGTCCCTACCTTCTGACCATAGCGTGGTATTCAGGGTGTTCACCATACACTTCTCAACTGAATATATCTTAAAACAACTGACTTGAGAGGATTTTTAGTGTTAAGTCCTGGATTACATTTTGATAAATTTGCCTTAGGCTCAAAAATTGCTAGTCAAAGTTTTGTGTAAGCCTTATCTATGTTCTTTCTTTCTGCTTTATTGTGGTACAAATAATTTACTAAAAGACAGAGAGAAAGATAAAGAAGCAGAAGCAAGTAATCTTGACAATAGTTATGCTAAATAATTTTACTTATTAATACATTGTATATATATATATATATATATATATATATATATATATAATATATATATATATATATATACACCTAAATTGCAGGTTAACCAAATACATAAATCCATAATAAAATTATAACACTCTAATTAAGTAATTTGATGAGAAGGAACTCTGCCTTAAAAGTCAAAATGTTAAAAAAAAATCAACTGATTAATTATAAATTCAGTGTTGGTTATAATAATATGATAATTTAAAATCATTCACCCGATATCACCACTGTCACATTGCTCATAACCCCCAAATTCCTCTACTTAAATTTCTTCTTGGACCAAATTCAGATCTAGCTGCTAAATATACATTTATCTTACTAGTCCAGACTAAAGATCAACTCATTTTTTTTTTAAACCAAGACAAAGAGTAGTAGAGGGAATATATGTAAGCAAAATCCACAGCTAATTCTAAACCCTGTTTTAGCTAATGACTCCAATCTTTGTTACCAAGTCTTTTCATAAGGCAATTCAACAAATCAAAAGAAGTAAGTTGGCTTCTCTTAGGCCTTGCAGTAAAAATTCCAGTATATAGTAACATAACTTAATGGCAGGTCCCCAAAATAGGAGAAGGAAAAACAAGTTACCTAGATAATTTATGAAGCAGAAAATGATATGCTAGAACTAGAAGGCACCTTCTCTTAGAGGTCAACTGATCCAACTCCTTTACTTGACACATGAGACGATTGATATCCAAAGAGGAAAAGCAATTTTTTTTTAATGCTATGCATCATGTTAGCTTCTAATAATAGGACTTAGGCCTCTCGACTCTAGGACCAATACTTAAAGTCTATCAAAGATAGGAGGATTCCCCAAAGGCTTCTGGTTTAATTTGTACCTTAATTTGAATCCTCTCTACAATATCCCTGACAAATAGTCCTGCTCCCTCCACTTAAAGACATTTAGTGATGTTGAACATTTTACTGCTTTGGATAGCCTATTCCACTTTTGATCAACTTAAATTTTCAGGATTTTTTTTCTACACTGAAAAAATAAACTCTCTGCAATACTTCTTTGCTTGTTTATTCTGGGACCAAATAGAGCAAAGCCTCCACAGCCTTTCGCAATCCTCTAGAATTCTTCCCCCCTCCAGTCTAAGTATTCACAGTTGTCCTCTTTTCTATTGCACCATATTATCCTTCAAGGCATCAATGATGAAAGTCAATTATACAGTGTAACCCAAGCTTCAAAGCCCATTTGATATGAGACTCTCCTCATTAATATAGAATAATTAATTGCTTAGTGTTCTTCACCTTCATGAGTTGATATTTGATAGGAGCCAGAGGAAAAAAAAAACACTCTGATCTTCTGACTTCCAGGTATGAGAGAGAAAACACAAGGTTCCAATCTCTCTTCAAGACTCTGAAGGGAGGGAGACTCTTGAGAGGAATCCAACATGTAGGGAAAATGATAATTTCTATCATGTCAGCTTCTTCCCAACAGTCTTTCTCCTCATTCAGGGACCTTAGGAGAAATTGGAACCTTGTGACTTCTCTCTCAAAGCAGGCAGCCTAAAGAGTAGGATGTTTCTTCTCTCTAACTTACACCAACTCTGCCCCTCCTGAAAGCATGGGACATTTAGTAATTAATCTCCACCAGTGAAGAGAGTCTGAAGCCAACAGGTTTTGCTTCAGAGAATTCTATCTTTAACAAAATAGAGGCAGGAAAATGGAATCTCAAATATGCTACCTCAACATTTTGCCTCTTACACTAACTACCGATGGCACTTTCCATTACTTGGATATACTTTCAATTCAGAACTCATATTTCTATGCATCAAACAAAGCTCAGGAAGCCCAGGGAGTTTGACTCACCATGGTCAAATCATAGAATTATAGACTTTTATTGAGAACTGCAAGCTGCCTTAGAGATAACCTAACCCAACCCCTCATTTATAGATGAAGAAATTGGAGGCTAGGGGACTTAATATGATTTGTGCATGATCACAAAGCTAGTTAGTGTCCTAGTAGACCATGACTAGAGTCCTGATTTCTTGACTTCCATTCCATTCATCTTTCCATTATCCCTACTTTGACTCACTTTGGTGTGACAATTCTAGATGGAGCATTAATACAACCAAAGTGATGATAGCCATCCAAATGTGGAAGGGGCTGTATTAAGAGGGAGTGGGTTATAAAACACACACACACACACACACACACACATATATATGTATGTATGTATATATATACACATATATATATACATTATACATATACACACATATATGTATGTATATATACATATACACATATATACATTATACATATACACATATATATACATTATATATATACACATATATACACACACACATATATACACACACACATATATATACATATATGTGTGTGTGTGTGTGTGTGCGTGTGTGTGTATTTGGTTGTTTCACCTCATATCAATACAAACTTTCATATCAGTACAAGACCTAAAATGACCTAGTTCCAGAATACTTAGCACCCCCCCCATTTATCTACAATCCCTGTTTGAGGTTCATCAGATAAAAGTCAAAGGGTTCCTGTCACAAACTAATAGGAAAAAAAAACCCTTTCTTATCATACTGATTAGAATGACAGTGGGATTTCCTGATCACTTGGTGAAAGGAAGAATCCCTGCACTGTGGGCTTCAACCAATATTGAATTAATCATACGGCTCTACCTAAATACAAATTAGTATTTATTAAGTCAAAGAGAAAAAAATGTTTTGGCAATTTTTGGTCCCCAAAGTACAATTATATCAAAGAATTTAGTGGTCATAATAATATATAGCAGAAAGCTTTCATTAGACAGGAATGATTAAAAATAGAACAGAACAATAGTTTGTATTCTCCTAGTCCATCTCAATGTTTCCACTAGAACATTTCCTGAAAATGCCCACACAAATAAAGAACACATGTACAGTTTGAATCTGCTATTTTGGTGAGTCTGGCATAACTAAGGTACCCATAGTCATAGGAAAGAAGTTGTGAGGGTCTGTTGAAATATCTGGGGAAGCAAGAGACATATAAGAATACCTGGAATATTCTAAGAGGGATGGAGAACATGATGAATATTAACATGAAGTGTAAAAGAGTGACTTCATGACAGCCAGGAAACCTCTTCAATGGGTTATAGGTGATGTGATAGGAAGAAAGTTTAAGGGAATCATTACGTCTTTGTCAGTAATTTTTTTCATTTTTTTCTCTTCTAACATATTTATATCACCCCAAAGAGTCAGAAAAAAGAAATTTTAACCCAGTTTCTTTCATCTTTTATCCACACAGTCTTTTTCTCTTGATTCCTTACAAAGACATACCATAGACCAGTTATTTTTCACCCAAATTATATGCTTGCCTACCACAAATTTAGTGTGGCTTATTCTCACCAGGGTCCTTCCTGCCCCCATCAGCTCCCCATGCTCATTGATTAATTCTGGTCAGGCAGCCCCTTCCCTTAAAGAGAAGAGAGAGGACTTGTAGCAAGTAACAGCTAGAAAAACTGATGAGCCCATTAAGTGCATCCTCTGACTCAAAAGGAATTCTGCCAACTCATGCTTTTATCTCTATCTGGTCTACTCATGATTTGAGTGCTGAAGGTGGCTGGGGTCTGATTACTCTAGATTGCTACATTTGTAAAGGGCTCTAATTCCTTTCATCTACCTTAAGGGGGAAAAGGTCCTAATGTATTCAGGCCAGCCAGTACCAGCATGTGTAGTTGGAAAGTCTGGGGCAGGGCTGATAGCTTGAGACTGTGCCAAGCATTGTTTCATCTGTCAAAACCAAAATCAATACCAAAACTACAGATAGAAAGAATTGGTCAGGCACGTATATTCTTAATATCTTTCATCTGCAAAGTTTATGATACAGTATGCTGTATCATAAAATTCAGGACGAGACTGGCAGATTCACATTAGTTCTTTACTACACTATACATTAAATGTATAATGTTATTCACATATGTATTCAAATATCTCATGGCTCAATCTGATGCCATTTCCATATATATGTTTCTCTGTGTATATTTATATGTGTTGTGCATCGTCCCTGCTTCTTGTGGGTTAATTTCATGGTTGAAATGGAGAAGTCACTTTAATGAAATCTTAAAGGCTGACGAGATAGTTCAGCAGAGAGAAAAGAAGAAAAGCAAATATGAATTGTAATTAAAAAATTCTCCTAAAAGTTATTATTTTTATTAAAGTCTTGCATTTTTTTCCATCCAGTCAAACTTCATAAGTCCACAAGTATTTTTATTTCTGCAACATGCAATA